TTTCCCTACTTTCTTTTAACTTGTACATTTTTGTTTCCCTTATTTAGTACTAAGCTTACCATAGAAAATATCCAGAATCATAATTTTTGGTTTCTAACTGTCTTCTTGGTAGATCTTTTAGTTTACAAGAACTATATATGCAATGACTTTTATTTTTGTACTATTCTTTGAAAGGACTTATTTCTTCTTAAAATCTTTTTTGTAATTTTTCACTTGGTCACTAAGTAAACTCTCTTATCTATGATCCTTAACTTGATATTAGTTTTCCATTTGCAATTAACATTTTAGTTTCAATTTACTTATTATAACAATTAACAACTTGTTACCATCTGAATTTCATTATCTTATAATGTGCAAGGATTTCTGTTATCGCTTTATTTATTATGCTTAACTAGCATGTTATGTGGCATGTTCATATGTTTTTGTGGAGTCACCTTACAAAATTTGCAAAAATAAATTTCTTTCCTTTTTTAAACAATAATGTTTCATTGATTTAGAACCTATGCTGATGAAAGTGATTAAGTGTTTTTTTTTTGGAAGTTTGTGTTCACAATTATGAGGTTATTTGTTCCCACAAAATTAATTCTATCTTTTTGCCTCTCATTTCTATCTTTTCTTTTGAATCTTCTTGTTAACTCATCCTATTAGAGCATGCGCTTTTTTTATGTTTTTTATTAAATTTCTTCGTTGTATATATGATGCGGGGCTTGCTAGGTGGTTGGAATTGCCGCGCCTTCCCTATCCCAATTTCCTATTTTACTCCCTTCCATAGAGGGAACATCTTCCTCTTCTATTCCTTTTCTATTTCCATTCCTTTCCTATTGCTAGTCATTGCCTATTTCTTTTCCTTTCCTATTTCTAGTCCTTGTCTATTTCTCTTTCTTTCCTATTTTTCTTTCTTTCCTATTTCTGCAGCCTCCCAGCCATCTGCCCCTCCCTTCCGACGTTGCTACCGCCCAAACTGCACCTTGTTCCTACTGTCGTGGCCCTCCTATCGTGCTGCTGCCGCCCAAAACATCCAGGGAACACCTCCTTCCTGCTGTCCCGCCGCTATCCACCCTAATTCCTCGCTGCCATCACCCAGGACAGCATCCATACTTGTTGTCCCTACATTTTTGCACCTCCCCCCTTTGTTGCCTTCACTAGCATTCCTTTTGCTGTCGCCACCAGCATTCTTTTGTTGCCACCACCCCCGTCAGCTATTTTGATTTACCTAGTAGACCTCCACCACCCTTGGGATACACTTTAGTAGTGTTTGCTTGTGTTTTGTTATTTTATTACCCCTTTCAAGTGTTGGTCGTAACCTTTTTTTTTGTTTTCAGTAATATTATTTATTTTTTGTGGTTTGATCTGGGTTAACTCTGGTATCAACATAAGAGTGTCTCATATCACAATCAAGTATCAATGGTAAGAAAAATTAATTGAGTGGTTGTTTAATAAATAGTTGAGAATTTCAAATATCCTTAAAGATCACTTATTGCTAGATTTAGATAAGTTGCTCTTTACTAAAATTTAGCTCGGTTGAATGGTAGTACCGATTTTTACCGTCAAAGCCTAGATGACTAGGCCTACAAATTCTTATGTTTCTTCTTGTTGCTCGATAATGAATTGTCTTATACCAGAAAATAGTTCATATGTTATTGTTGTTGATTCCATAACATAACTAAGGTAATGCGCAAACATATGCACATGTGTCTGCAAAAGAGAAAAAAAAACTTACTGGGCTGGTTAGATGTTTAATACTGTTCTGGAAGTTTGGCAAAATCATCTCTGTAGCATGTTAATAAGAGGGTCTTTGCTTAGAAAAAAAATAAAGAAGTGGGTCTTTGTTTCAAGATTAATGTGAACAAGCTTATTTTACAAGTACTTGTTAATGTTTCATCTATCAATTACATTAAACTCTCAATGAGGAAAGTAATCAGATCAAAGGTGAATAAGCTCTGCATTAACATTATTATGGATATTTTTGAATATAAAAAATTCAATCTGACTTCGGCCATCATGAAGTTCATAGATTGAATAGTTTCTTGAGATAATTTACTATGAGAAACTTTTGAATGAAGTGCCGGTTTCTTTTCTTTTTTTTAATGATTTTTTTTTTTGTTAAGTTTTTTTAACAACTTTTAATAATTTGAGCGGATAGTTTGAGATCAATCCATCATGCGTAAAAGTTAACATTAAATGGCAATTTTATAGCTGTCAAAAATTTTGTTCTAGTATCAAAATCCTCCTATAAGTGACTAATTACATAATTCCATGTAGAGTATTCAAAGGACTTGCGCTCTTATCTCAAATATTGCGTAGATGTTATTTTTGCTGGTTTGGCTCCATCATATGAGGAAGGGAAGTTGATTGAAAGACTATGGGATATATATGATAAGAAAGAGGTGAAACTTCTTGTCCTTTTAGCTACATGCATATCTTACAATTTATTTTGTCAATCCAGTATTGCTTACCCGTTTATTAGAAGTGGAGCATGTTTTCAGCTCTTATCTTAACTTTGCTTTATCTTGATCATACTTCATTTGCGGAGCTTAAGATCTAACATGCCGTTGATGGCATGATTTGCCTTTTTTTTTCACATATCAAAACAACATTAAATAAGTAAACATGCTTCAAACATATCTACGAGTAATTGAATATGGGGTATAATGTATGCAAAACGGAAATTGAACTTGGTCTTTGCTTTAACCTTTCTCAGGCTATCGATTCTACAGTGGGAAAACGTTGAATAGTGCCTGGGTAAAATGGTTTTTTGAATGTTTTCCACATTTTTCCTTTTTTAATCTGAGTTTTGTGAATGCAAACATAAGAGTGAGTAATTATTCACCAAACAAGAAAATCAAATGCTTCACGGAGGTGTAATGCTGTCTTCTAGTCTTGCCTCGCTGCTTAAGATCAATTGATTGGGAAGAGTAGGAAATTAGGCTGAAACTAGGAGTAAGAAGGATGGAAAGGTTGGTGAGGCATGAAGGACCTTGCGGTGGAGGGAAACCTTGGGGATATTGAGTGGTGAGTGAGGCGTGGAGAGGGAATAATCAGAGAGATAGGAGATAGAAGAGATGCCGTCAGCCACATTTGGGGCGAGTTTTCCTCACATCTTGTCTGTCCAACCTTTATGAACATGATTTTAACTCTTACATACATGCATTATTTATAAATTGGGGTTCATAGCAGCAATGAAAGAAATAAACAAAAAAACGTCAAATAGAATTTTCATATAAGAATATAATTTAGAGAAGTAAATTGGAAAGTTTTTTCTTTCTTTTTATTAGAAGGATAAAAGTTAGTTGTAGATATTTTATGAATGATATGCAGGTACAATGTCATTTATAACAAGTATAAATTCAAATCTAAACTAATGAAGTAAGTAAGAAAAATCTTCAATGTCTTTAGGAACTATCTCTCGAACCCAAGACATGTGCCTTGAAAATTAGTGATAAATGAGTCAAGTTTTAGCAAACATAATATATGTTTGTTTTTGGCTTGTTTAAGTATGCTGAAGAGCATAATGTTTATGTTTGATTCATTTAAGGCTTGATAGGCTCATATTCCTTTAATTTGATAAGCCTAGATATGCTGAAAACTTTGCAAACAAATAATGCAAGCGCATGCGTTCGCACGTGCATGCGCGCGCGCGCGCACACACATATATATATAGGCTTAATTCCTCAGAAGCTTGTCAAACATGAGAGCCATTCTCAAGTAATGATTTACAGCTCTAACCATAGAGTATAGTACTTAAGTGAAGGCTCTTTTGCTTTAAACTTCTTAATTTTTTTGTTGCAATAAAAATAGAAACTTAGCGGTGGAACAAGCCAAATCTGATGACAAGTTGGATATTAGTGTCATTTGTTCTTTTGATAGTACATCGCGCTATCCGGCAATATAAACTGTTCTTTGAAAAATGCCTATCCGGCAATATAAACTGTTCTTTGAAAAATGCCTAACCAGGTACTTATCTCGAGGGCTAGTAGTGATGTGCTTCAGGTTAATTGCAATTTGATACATAGATTAAACTGTGCAAGAAGTTTTATTACCTTTTTTTATTTAAATAGACAGCTTATGCTCCAAAATGATATTATTCTCTCTTTGGCTGGGAACAACATAAATGGATCAAAGGGAGTAAACTAATGACAAAATATATAAAACCATTTTCTTAACAAATAACTTATCTTCTATAGTATCAATCATCCATGCATTAAATAAGATATAATTAGTATCATCTAACTTCTTTAAACATTGATTGACGCTTGATAATAGAGATTTTTTGCAATGAAGAATACTTAACGTTTTTGCTAGGTGAGAAAGGCTATTAATTATGGCAATGTGATTAGGAGTAAATGAAATGGTAATGCTACAATGGTTTCTTCTTATCCAAAAAATTAGTTCTTCTCTCATCTATTTTCCATTGCTTTAGCATAGTAGCATTTTTTCAGATTACACGTTGAGAGTTTAATAAAATTGATTTTTTTTTTTGATAAAAAATAAAAAATAAAAAATATAAAAAATCAATTCAATTGAAAATTTTGGGTGGTTTATTCTCAAAGCAGCGGCCTCCAATGATTGCTTGAAATCATCATCATGTTCATCATCAAACTTTCCATTTGCAATCTTATCATGTATTCTTTTTGGAGACATGCTGATCTTTGATGAGAAAAAGAGTTATAACTCATGATTTTTCATGTCTGAAATCATTTGGAAAAAATTATAGATGATAATAATGTGATTTAGTTAGGTTTGATGTAAATGACCTTGTTTGCAAGATGCATGTAACTTGACTTCCCACCCAAATGTTAAATGTTAACAAATTATAATCCATGTCACAAAGGTGTCCAACTATAAAAACTTATGTACAAGTTCTTTAAATTGCTTTTTATGTTGTGATGTGATATTTAACTTATCTATTTTTTAAGTGCTTTAATGTCATTAAATGTATATCAGTTCTCGTTTAATACCAATTTCCAGGATGAAGATCAGCATACTGATGAAGAGGCCAAATTTTTTGAGCTGAAAGTAAAGAGGCCAAGGGATGAAGAACCCACAAATCTTTCCTCTGAAAAGGAAGCAAAAGTACAAAAGCAAAATATTACACAGAAAAAGGTTGGCAATTTGTCAAATTGTTCTACAGGCGCCAGAAATCCTGCTATAGAACAACTGAAGGTTAACATGGAAGATAATGGCTTTCAGTACATTCCACCAAGGGGTGAGAGAAAAAAAGCAGATGGCTATCTTCACTATAGAAGACAAAAAATAAATGCAAATTTCATTTATGTCGCACATGCGGATTATTACATATTGCTTAGAGCTTGCGCAAAGCTCGCCCAAGTTGATGCTCGTGTTCTCCATATTGGTGTGCTTAAATTTGAGAAAAGACTTCATTGGATTGAGCATAGAGCTGATCAAAGCTTGAATTTGTAGCATAAATGTTCTTCCCAGGGTGATGATTTGTTGTGCACTAATTGGAGTTGACTCTAATTGGTATAATTCTCATTTATTTTTTTCCTCCTTATTAATGATTTGATGATTTTTGTCATAGTTATTGTGCTTTTTTTTTTTTTTTTTTTTTCTTAAATTTTTATAAGGGGATCAGCGAAAGACAAAACAAAACCGATGTGAGAATCAATGAAAGATTGATTAGAAATATATTTCAGAGCTTTTCCCTAAATGGCAGAGAAGATGAAGCAAGGTTGATTGACTTTTCTGAGGATTGAGGTCCTTATGGTTCATGACATCAGGTGTATATTTAAGAAAATTGTTGATTAAGATTGTATCGTTGACATTTTTTTAAGCTTGGAAATAGAGTTTGTTTAACACAAGAAAATATTACGTTCGATAAATCAGCGTAGATTACACCACGCTGTCGGACGTATGACATGCAATTTATGTTGCCGTCCGCACATACGACCGACGGACGTAATATTTTCTCGCTTAACACAGTTCGGAGATAGAGATCCTCGAGGTATTTAAGGTGTATAGGATCAGCTCAACAACGAGGGGCTATAGTTCTAGGTATAATTTGTCCTTATTGTTATTATTATTTAACAATTAAATGGATGATTTGTCTCAAAAATTCTAAATGTACCCATTGTAATATTGTAGTTCCGGATGTTTGTAGAGATCATCCCCTTTTGCCAACACTTGCATTATTGTTTTTTTTTTCAATAACATGTTATCCACTTGAGATACTAAATTTCATTATTTATAAGATTAACAAGCCTATTATTAAAAAAGAAATAAAGTATAAGATTAAGCTCATGCATTTATAAGCGCCATTAAAACTTTATTATAATCTAATAAAATTGAAATATATGGAAATCAGTTTTCTCTACATTTTAAGCCATTTAAATGGCAATAATTATTAGGCCATTTTTTATTTCTGGTATGGCAACTTAATTGTACAATGTTTGGGGTTTCAAATGGAATTGCAGCTGTTTTTTTAAAATAGGAAAGCTTAAATGCATGTCACTTAATTTCTATGCAATTTTTACATGTATACAACTTTTTATATGTATTTTATTTTTACAAATTATCATAGTAATATTTTTAATTTGATAGGGAAGATTTGAGTGATGTAAATATAAGAAATAAAATATAAGTTTTAATATGCAAATACATAGGAATTGAGGGGATGTATTTAAATGTCACCTTTTAAAAATGTTGGAAACTGGCCTTCGGCAAATTTGCTTTAGAACATTCACTGATGATTGCTTGATCTTGAATCAGAAGGCACAAATGATCTTACTTTGCACTGATGCTCCCAGTGTGACCTGCTATATTTATTTAGATTTTAGGGGCATTTTACATACATACCATATAATTCTAATATATTTACATATGTACAATTATAACAATCAAAACTTCAACATTATATTAAAAATATCACAATTATTAACTTTTTTTTAAGTGAAAATACACATTTTCATGCATTGAATATCAAACTTTAGGTGTTTGATATGTAAGAACATATGAGACTTTTATGTAAATTTCCCCAAATTTTAATATAAAGCAAATTGGAAGAAATTTATTTCCAAATTGCATCACAGTAATCTAAGGCAGAAATCTACATTGGCTGCGTATTATTCAAGTTTCAGATCATGCTTCCAGAAATAGAATCAGAAGAATACAAGAAGAAACAGCTCGAAAGGTTATGAAACATGGCAAGCCAAACAGTGATTTGATTCCACAGAATTCATGTTTACTTCAAATTGTCTTTTAATTTCTATCAAAATTTATACTCTAAAACATAGCTGACATTCAAACATTAGCTTATGTAATAAGGTGGAGCAAAGATAGAAACTGTACAACTCATTTATCATCAGAATGCTGGTGAGATGGCTCAAAACTGTCCGGCTCTAATGTCGCGGTCAAGACGATCGGCATTTAGTGTGCCGGGGAGCTCTCTGAAATCTTCGTTGAATATGGAGTATGCGCTGCGTAAGGCATAGGTAGAATAAATCACTATGAGAAACAGTTCAATGTTTGTTTGATAATATGTAAGCATAATTCAAGGAATCAAGAGTACCAAATTTATAAGATGCGAATTAAGATTTCGATATAACAATAATAGATGGATTGGGGTTCGAAGTGATAAAAGAAGAGGTGTGACTTTAAGTACATCTAATGTTCTTAAAAATGACTTCTCTAACTCTTCCAAGTAATAGTATTTGGTTCCTAAATCTTTCCAAATTTGGTAAGCTTGAAAAAGGTCTATAAATAAGACTTTCCTTTCTATTTTTAATTTCATTGAAAAAACATTGCTTTTTTGCTTGTGCAAATCTTCTATTAAAAATCTTGGTAGGTAATCTACTCTTCGGGTGAAACTTGATGGTGGATCCCCTTGGACTTCAGCAAGTCCTTCGTAATATTCCCACAACAACTACTATCTCACAACACAATGCCCCTCCCCTCCACAGAAGATTTGATCAACCTAATCCATAGCCTCCCTCAACGCAAAGACATCCAAATTCTTCAAAACTCTCCTACACATTTCCCAAGAAACCCTATAAATTCCCAAGGTCTCAACTCCTTATTAATCCAAATAAATCCTATCAAAAAGTCAATACGGAGACAATTTTATGTCAGACAAATTCAAAAAATTCAGAACTCCTCGACCACCGATCCTAAATCCTTAAAAGCATCACCATTAGTTTCCTAACATCCTAAATAGTTGATTTGGGTTTCCTCACCATTCTCTCTGAGAAAAAGTTACCCTTTCAAAGCCTAAAAATTTCAGCCTCAAACCAGTCTAAATCCCAAACAACTTTGTTTCTGACATATTTTAGATGAATACCTGCAACTAATTTATGAATGCTTATGTTACACGTGGTTCTATGCTATTTTATGATCCAAATGATTATGCTTATGACACCATTTGCTTGCAGGTATTCATTATGTTTTGATTTACGCTTATGAGGCATGACATACCTGATTGCAGGAATTATGCTTTATGAAATGTTTGATGAACATTGCTATAGATATTATGCTTTGAGAAATGTCACAATGAATGTGAAGGGATAGACTATTACATGAGTACTTGCAAGTACATTATATAGGGATGCTACTCCTGACTTTTGATATTTATACAAGGATAAAACTTTGAGAATTGTTAGGATTAGGCAGTGACGTAATGTTGGAACCGTGGTATCAGGGGGGTTGTCGATACTGCTATGTTGGGGGGGAGCCTAAACTTTATCGATGATATATATGGTCTTTGGGGCAGGATGACAACCTATTATGAAATAACATGAAAGTAGTTGAACCCTATACAATAAATAAGTGACATTCATATGATATGACCTCTATGAAATGAATAAACATGCTTATACTTATGATTTCATGTTTACGACTTGCCTGTTATACTATATTGATTTTTATACCAACTATACATGCTCTCTTTTCATGTTTTCTACTATGTTAGCATGTTATGATTGTATGTAGACGTGTATAATTTTATACGAGGCATGTATGTTACTTTCTTTTCATGTTTAAAATCTTATTTTAGCGTTGACTATTTTGTTGAGCTAGTTTTGCTCATTTTATGTTATTGCCTTCAAGGTAGGGGCAACGAGCACTGGGAAGAATAACTAGGTAACTTGAACAGTTTTTTGTTCCATGTTGAGAGCTTGCAGTCTTTTTAGGTATGTATTTATTTATTGGATTTAGCTGCTATGTATAGTTTTCATGTTTTAGATGATTTAAGTTATATGTTTCCGAATATGTAATCGAAGTGTAATGTAGCACTTATGTTGCAGCGATCCAGTTAAACTAATTCATCACCCACTGAGTTTTGATTATAAAAATATGGATGAGTGCTGGTGAGATTTAGTTTGACCAAATTGTCAGGCTCTATTGCACCTCAGTCGACCCCTAAAAAGAGGGAGCATGTTGAGGTGTGACAAAAAGTGGTATCAAAGCATGATTAAGCATGATTAAGCATGATTATTGGATGAAAAGAATGATGAAAGCATGTTGGATTTAGAAGAAGTAAGACTGAGATTAAATATGAATTGATTTATACAGAGCTATATGTTGATGAATCTGTGGTGGGTAACCCTTACGATCTATAAATGGAACATTGGTTTGTATTTTTTATTTCACTGTATAGAAATTATCTTTTGCTTAGGCAAATTTCATGCATAAAAGTTATGGGGTCAATCCCCTAGAGTTGTGGTGCATTACAACTCCAACTCATCTCCTTCATAGCAGGCTCAACCAAACTAATTCATAGCTACCCTCACCTCAAGTCACATCCAACCTTTCCAAACTCTCCAAACATTTCTCCACAAAACCCAAAACTTCCCAAAGCCTCAACTCCCCTAACGTCTTGAAGATATCCTCGCCCACAGTTCAATACAAAGAAATATTTTTCTATTTTTAGAAATAAAATTACGACATTCATAAGTTCCAAACATTTGATCTAGAATTCTCACCTTGTCCTCTTAAAAAAAAAAAAAAAACTATTATTCAAAGCCTAAAAGTTATAGCTTCAAATATGTTCAAACTCAGAACAAATATTTTCCACTGCCGGCTTGAACCTTTCACCACCACCCCAAGAGGACACCAACCAAATTGTTGCTTTCACCATCAAAATCCTTTCAACTCTAAATAAAGTTTGATTATGCACCTCTTTGGATGAGATATCTCTATTATGCCTTTGTTGGGCTATAAACCTAAGTGATCTTTCATCCACCCTGACCATCATAGTCCAAAGCTATGTTTGCAGTAGGGCTATAAAAAAGATTGTCATTCGCGAAAAGGAACAGTTTGTGTTCGGTTGTTAAGTAGATTGTGTTGGATTCGTTCATTAAATGAGCGATTCAAACATGAACATTTTTTTTGAGCTAGATTTATAAACTAACTGAACAGGAACAAAAGTTTATTCATTAGTGTTCGACTCCTTTTGGCTTGAAATTATTAAATAATAATATTAATTTTTAAATTGAATTTTAAAGATGTTAAATTTTATTTTTTAAAAAAATCATTTGGGTGATATAAATAAAAAAGTAATATTATATGTTCAATATGTAAATACATAAGATTTGGTAAATGCTCCTAAAATTCCAGCCTCGTTGTTGGCAGGTTCGGTTAATTTTAGGTGTTAGATATGTAAATACATAGAGTTTGGTTGGCATGGACGTAAATGCGCCTGAAATATCTGTGTTGTCAAAGAACTTGCGGGCTGCAACTATGATTATTACTTATTACTCCCACATTAAAGATTTTAAAGTGGGAAGTGCTCTTTAAAAGCAAAAAATTTAGAATAATATTTCAAAAAGCTTCAAGGGAAAAGGCGGTGTTATTTGCATTATAATAATATGTTTATTAAAGTGAATATTTTATAAATTTAATAAGAATAATTTAATTAATTAAACTTACATTTCCTCATTAGTTGCTAATGACAAGGCGACTCAAATTTAGCTCGACCCGAACATAAGCCAATATGAATAAATTCGAGCAGAACATGAACGTGCTATTCTCGAGCCATTTTGAACACGAACCGAATACTAACAAAAAAAAAAAATCGAATGAGTTGAACATGTTTACGGGCATAGTTATCAATTTTACATTTAACAATAAGTTGAAACCGCAACCTAGAATATGTCCAATAGATGACTACTCGAGATGGAATTGCAGGTTGATAATTTCTTAAGAACTATTACAATTGTTAGCTTAAACTTAGAATAATAGTTATCACCCCACAGAACTAAGTGATAACACCTATTATGGGAATACATGAACTCTTAGGAGAAGTCAATCGACAATCCCACCATAGAATGCAAGTTCTTTGAATTGATGCCTAACCTTCACAGAAATGGTAAGAGATGCCTAACAACCTTCCTGAGTTAATGAAGACCTAACTGAGATCAAATTCGTTTATACCACCTTAGAGATCACCACATCATTGAAACATTGCCGTTGGCAAATCAAAGTCCATCTACAAAAATAATCGGAAGTAAGGGAGTTCAAATTAAGTTTACTAGAATAAAATTGTCACAAGCTTTACTTTCTGCTTTCCCAAGAATATTGTCAATCAATGGCTCCTTTACAGGGTCTTACTGAATTTTCATAATAAACTCCTTCAGATGTCCCCAATTTAAAGGTTTCTTCATTAAATATTTAGGTGGTGACAATCCTCTATCATATGCCCACGATCGTTGTGATAATAATAAACCTTATTGAGGTCCCCTTTCTTAAGAAAAGAGTGGATCTTATTGGTTCATTTGAAATACTCATGCCCCTGGATGGTCCAACATCATAAAAGTATCTTCAATGATATAATGTTGAGCACCTGCTTTCTGTTGAAAAGTTTCTGATGCTTCCTGCTTGTCGCTTATTTCCTCTTTTTTTTGTACTATTAGGTCACGAAAAAACCATAAACAAAGTATTAACATCCATATCTGGCCAACATAATGATAAGAAGTTAGACGAGTGAGGTTTTGACAAGTACAAGATGAAGAAGAATGACGATGCACTGGAGAGAGTAAAAAAGGAGGAAGGAAAGTGGAAGGAGAGAAGATTAGAGAGCCAATAATCCTTGTAGAAAATAAAATAATGGAAAATACTCCCCACAATCTTATTAATTTCTTTGTATAAGAGGAAGACATATATAAATCTCTCTAAGACATTACGGAATAGGAATAATTTTTAAAAATGATGAAAAACAATTAGGGGCCGGCAATATTATAGGAAAACACAAATTGTTCTCCGAGAGTCATAGAGAGATTGATCCAACATTATGAAGCAATGATTCGTCTGCCTTAAACTTTTTGATATCCAAGGGTTCATAGGAAAACAGATCCAATAGTACAAAAACTCGATCCATGTTCCTTAAGTTCTTTGATATTATTGGAATGGCAGAATTTCAACACTCACCCTCAAACTAGATGGTAGAAATCTACCATTCTAAATTTGTTTATGATATTTTTAATTGTTGGGTTACAGAATCCTTTGGTGAATATGTCAGCCAATTGATTTCATGTGGACACATTTAAGTATAGATCAAGTCCCTTTCCAATTTCTCTTTTATAAAGTGTTTATTGATCTCAACATACTTGTTACGATCATGTTGTTAGGCTTAACTAAATTAAGGAATTCTAATTTGACACCCTTTAAAATATTTTTGAAAGATTTAAGGGGATCTCACCTTTAAGTTCAAGAATCTTATCTTATGGGAATTATTCCCCTTAATCATTTCCATGCTCCTAAGATATATATATTTATAACTACTACTCTAGAGCATATAATCATACTTTTTCTTAGAATCACCCGACACCTTACAAAACGATAATTCTTTCTACCAAGCATAAAAAAATCAATTTATGAAAATCCATTTTCTAAAGTAATTGAGCGGACTGTTCTTAAAGTATGTGTTTGCTATGACAAGAAGATACGCCATTTTGAGCAGAGCATTAAAATCACATATTTACCTCATTCAGTATATACTACAAATATTCACACAGCCAACCCAACCAGAATTTAAATTTCATTAAATAACCATCAATTAAAAATGATCCGATTAGGAGAGTAGATGTTTTAAATTCGACTTGTGTTAAGAAAGGCAGAGGTAGACCTAGGAAGACTTGGGCTTATTGTATTAAAAATGATCTTAATTTACTAGAACTAAATGAAAATATGACACTAAATAGGACGCAATGGAGAAAAAGGATTCATGTAGCCGACCCCACGTAGTGGGATTAAGGCTTTGTTGTTGTTGTTGTTGTTGTTGTTGTAAATAACCATCAATTATTATTCTCTCTACCTCAAGTAGTAATTATAGTAGTTCATCCACCTCATCCTGAAATTATATTTTAAATATTTTTGTAGTCCAACTCGAGCAGCATAAACACTCAACACAACTATAATATCATTGCCAATAATTAACAAAAAGAAAAATCATTATATCACTAATTTGATTTATCTCGACAGTTTTTATCTTTCAGCTCTATATTCAATATGATCCCAACCCATTGTTTAATTAAATTTTATAATAGACAATAAGTTATAACCTTCCACACTATCCTTAAAATTTTTTCCCCTTTTATTTAGTATCTTGAAAACAGAAAATAGTTGTTCATCTAATAAATATTTCTACTAATTCATCTTTAGTTTTCATTTTCCATGCAAAAAATCTAAAACTAGTTTTATGCTTAGCTAATAAATGAACCCTTTTCACCACAGTTAGTTTAAATTATAACATGTCGCTTCTGGGTGATTTTCAAAAAATATTATAATCATACTATAATCATTATCATGAAAAAAGGCACAATACACTGCAAGCCTTCAGTGAGTTCAATCAAATGCAAAATAACAATCATAATTAAAATAATAATGAAAAATAAATACGATAAGAAAAAAATTATAACTTCAACAAGAATAATGATTCCTAAATTATAAAAAGAAAAAAAGTACAATGGCAGGATTGTTGAACATGACAATAAAAAATTTGATTAAGTTTGAACTATTTTAGATAAAAAACAATTCTTATAGCAGCACAACTTGTGCAAAAAAGTCATGCTTTAACCTGACAATAAGAAGATGAAAACAATAACATTTCACACTAGTAATAAATGGAGCAGAAAAAAATATCATAAAACTAATTGACGTAACAGATGTCCTCTGCAACATCAAACGTTGGAAAATATGAAAATTTCACTATTCTGATTAATATCTTTAAGACCGTTAATTTTAAATGTCACAATGAATATTAAAATTTCAAAAGTAAAAATTTTAATATATAAATTTGACGAAACACACATTGATAAAAATTAAATCGCTCATAGTAATTGAAGAAAAGTTGAAACAATGTTTCCAGGAAACTTTAATTATATGAAACATGTGATGAAAAAAAAAAAAAAAGTCAAACAATAAACTAATCAATCCAGAGCATAAATAAACATTTTCCATTGGCCATTCCTTCTTACACTAGAAGCAAAAATCCAAAAAAAAGATAGAAGAAGAAGAATAGAGTCTACTCAACCTGAAAAAGATGTAGCAAGTAAAAGGACGCACCTAAGTTCACCATGTTGTCTCTTTCCAAGATTTAGAAGAATCACTAAGAAACCTGTCCCAAGTATCTGCATAATAAATGATATTTTGGTGCTAATCAAAACTCGAACTTTCTAATGAAGTAAAATGCCAAAATAGTCCCCTAACCATTTAGATTGAGACATTTTAGTTCCAAAGTTTATAAATGTGTTAATCAGTCCACATATTATTTTATTGGGGCTAAAATAGTGCTGATTGGGGACTATTTTAGCCCATATTAAAAGAGGCAGGGGACTAAATTGATAATTTTATAAAATCTGAGACTAAAATGGACCCCTGCAAGGAGCCACGAGACCATTTTAACACTTTTTCTCTTTTCTAATGTGTGTTAAGGAAGAAAAAATGAAATTATGACGGAAAAAGAAAAAACAGTTACATATAAAGGCCCAACATCCCATCTATGCGCAACAGGGGCAAACAAAAACCAGAGAATGACACCAGCCCATGCCTTTAGACTTACAGAGAAAATCGCGACCAGCACCATATCTATAGAATGGGATAAAACAAAAAATAAATCATTTAATCTTCTCTTCGACTCGGTTATCTATTTAGAAATGCATTATTACAAGGTATACCAGGTAATCTCAATCTTTCACGTAGGAGATAAAAGAGTTTCCTCTTCCACCAGGTTGCCGATTGAGGAATGTGGAACTTCTGAAAGCCCATGGTATAAAAGAAAATTACAATAACTAACTTCTTCCAGAGTAACTGTTATGCGCGATTGGCATTAACTCAACTAAAATAAGAATCGATATTACCAATTCATCATCATCAATATCATCATAATCGCAGAGATGTTTAGCAGGAGCCTCAGGCATTACAGCAACCATCAGTGAATCTGACAAAAGTATTCTTCTCGCTTTAACTTAAATAGCAGACAAATACTGAAGTAACTCAGCAAATTTGTAGAAAACCCTGGAAAAATTCATATGTAGCCTTTGGCTAAGAATACCAATCCAAATTCCCTGTTTGCTTCTATAAAATCATCCTAGATATAATAAGTTGTCACAGGTTTCTATATTGTTGTTCTTTGATAGCGTACAACCAATTATATAATCTTCAAAATTTGACGGTAAACAAACGAACATACAATCTTAAAGATTGGCAAAAGTTCATTTATCCATGCTCATTTAATAGGGAATAAATTGGCAGCACAATAAATTTAGAACTCAGCTTTAAAACAGTTTTAGAGATGTACGGTTATATATATATATATATATATATATATATATATTAATAAAACAATCAATGGATACATATATCTCTGTGTGTGTGTGTGTGTGTAACTTATTTGTGGCACTGATAGGATCCAACGTCAACATCACAACTGTTTTTCACAAAAATTAGGCCAAACACAATATTTCTTCAATAATTCAAACAACTCAACAAGAATACAAAGATAAACGCCAACAATTCGAGAGGTAAGCGATCTTCTCCAATTCCTACAATTCGAGAGGTAGGAAATCTCTCCCAAACCCTAAACCTGGGACTCACAACTCAATATCATACATAAACCTAACCCTAGGCATAACAAACCTATTTATGTCCAATAATAATAATAATAATAACAAAATGAATTGCCCTTCGCATACAAAATACAAATTTGCTCTCAGGCTAGGCACCGACGCAACAAATACTCCCACAAAAGACACGTTGTCCTCAAAATAGGAAAGAAGTAAGTGTTCCTCCTACCCCACAACTGTCTCTATTTCTTCATTCTCTGCCTCCTCATCATGCATTATGAGAACTTGTAATTTTCGATCCTTACAAAGGTGTCCTGGGATAAACTTCTCATCACACCGAAAACATAACTCTTGGCTCGCCTCTCCTGAATCTCTGTCACTATAGAGGTTTGAGCGTTGCTCGTAGTTGTAGGGCAGTCAAAACGACTCGTTGTTCGCAAACAGCTCGTGTTTGGCTCGTTAAGAAGCTCTTGTTGGCTCGTTCACTAAATTAACGAACCGAACACGAACGAATATTTGTTTGATAGTGTTCGGCTCGTTTTGGCTCGAAATAGTATTGATGAGTAGTATTTTTTAAAATTTTAATTGACTAAAAGGGAACAAAGAATTATAATCAATTAAAAGTATTAATTAAGAAAATAAAATACAAATTATTAAATTAGATTCAAATGATGTTTTAATATAAACAATAATTTTTAAATATTGCCCCAACCCTTAACATCTTATGGCTACGTCATTAGGGTTGTCAAAACGACTCTATATTCGTGAACAACTCATGTTTGGCTCGCTAAATAAATGAGTCGAACACGAACACACTTTTTGAGCTCGAAATATAAACGAGCGACGTGTTTGGCTCGTTTACACCTCTACCCGGTTGTGGTCCATTATATGTGTCTCGTGCAGCCTTTCTCTGGACTTTCATATTTAGAGCTTTTGGTATGGCCCTGGTTGAGCAGTTTGGTACGACGTTATATCTGTGTTTCTCATGCTAGCAGTAGCTCCTGAGTCAAGTATAGAATTGCTCATGTATGTCTACTCGAATTACTCAAAAATGTTCCAACATATAATCCTTGAATTCCTCCCATGAATGGATCATATATCAAACCTCCCTCACAAAAATCAAGATAAAGATTTCCCTTCCAAACAAAACCCCACCGCCATGTGTTTTTCCTCCCCATCTATCTATGTCAACATGTTTCATTCTATCATATTGCACAAAATTGTGAGCAATATTAATTATTGGCTTATTATCACAATAGTCTCATTGGCTCTTCTCATTCCATCTTTAAATCCCTAAAAAAATTTTTAGCATAGAAACTCACATATCCCTCTGTCATTGCTCTAATTTTGCTATGAACTAGACTTTGCTACAATATTTTACCATTTTTTGTCATGTGATCACGCTACCTCTAAAATAGATGCAATATTTGAATGTGGATTTATGTCTACAAGTAAACTTATATAGACTACATCTACATTGGCTTTAAGTCCTAACTTTTTATTTCTTCTAAGCAAAAATTCCTTCTAAAATTATGCCTAAAGCTGAAATAGATAGCTTGCGGTGAGAATTTAGATCAAGCATGAATTAAGTTACCATATTTCCAGCAAAATGTCACGGATTACCTTATCCCAAGTTACCTGTGCGGCTTTAGCACTCTTCCTTGGCACTAATCACCATAACCCTCACAACTCTTGTAATTGTAAGCACACAACACTCTTGGAAAAAGAATAGGAAGAAGTATTGAAGAAAGAAAAAAAAGAGTGATTGCAACACTTGAATGCTTGGAACCTTGGATAGTTCTTGGATGAATGCTTGGATGGATCCAAATGAGGGGAGGGACTCCTATTTATAGTCCTCCCCAAGCCCAAGAGAACTTTCTGGATTACATTAGAACAATCTAGTTTCTAGATAGTTCTACGCAATTCTTTTATATACATACATGACCCTAGATCATTCTAGGTTATTCTTGAGTTCTCCTTGGAGCTTTTTCTTCTAACATTCTCCAGAATGCGGTGGAGTCTTCTAGAGCTACTTGGATTACTCTCATCCATCCGGTCTTTTCTAGAATCTTCTCTATCATGGTTGTCTTCCCAATGTCATAAATATGACAAAGCGTGACACTCTCGCCCACTTAAGCTCGCAATGCCCTCATTGCGACTTCCACTTGGTACCGTCAGTTTTTTTCTTGTATGGTTGTAGTGACACTCGAATCAACTCCCTTTGCTTGCTCACCAACTTGGCAAACTAGGATTTTTCCTTGTTTGTATGGGGGAGGAGTTTCATGCGATAAGAATTCATGATTGACGACTCAGTCCTTGACTCCGACCTAATCTGGTGATCTTTCTCCCTTCTTGGTGGAATGCCCTTCTTGAATTGGATCATCGATAGCATTTCGACTTCCAGCTTGTCAGTCCTTGTTGTCGGTACTAAACAAGCTTGGTTTCCCTCCATGATGCACTGTTGACCTCATTTTTGTGAGGTCTTTTCT